AGAGATTAATGGTTCCTCCACCCAAAATCTGGTTCAGATGTTGAGACTGATGTTGCCACACATGCACTAAGAGGGTAGGAAAAGATTTTTACTCACATAATGAGGCTTTCTGGGGACACCAGGGCAGGCTCCCAAGCAGGTCCAAAAATAGCTTAAGAGAGCAAAGAAAGGAGCCTGGCCTGGGGTTCACGGTGTTAGAGAAAGAGTTGAGGTGAGGGTTCCCACACACAGGGATGAGAGTTTGCAGGTTGGACATTCCTGCCAGTGCCAAAGAGGAAGCGCAGGGCCTCTCATCAGCTTCCACAGAGTGACAGAGAGGAGGGCAGAGCGGGGGAGCTCGGCGCTGTCAGCAGCAGACACCAAACATGGAGTCAGGCCCTTTATTATACCAGACTTTCCTCAAACAGGAGAATCATAGTAATCACATTTTTAAAATGTATACATAGTTGTGCTTTTGTCGCCCAGGCTGGAGTGCAATGGCATGATCTTGGCTCACTGCAACCTTCACCTCCTGGGTTCAAGTGATTCTCCTGTCCCAGCCTCCCAAGTAGCTGGGATTACAGGTGCCCCCCACCATGCCCGGCTAATTTTTGTATGTTTAGTAGAGATAGGGTTTCCCCATGTTGGCCAGGCTGGTCTCAAACTCCTGACTTTAGGTGATACGCTCATCTCAGCCTCCCAAAGTGCTGGGATTACAGGCGTGAGCCACTGCGCCTGGCCCGACATTTTTAACATCAAAAGAAACATGGCCGGGCGTGGTGGCTCAAGCCTGTAATCCCAGTACTTTGGGAGGCTGAGACGGGCGGATCCCGAGGTCAGGAGATCAAGACCATCCTGGCTAACATGGTGAAGCCCTGTCTCTATTAAAAATACAAAAATCTAGCCGGGCGAGGTGGCGGGCGCCTGTAGTCCCAGCTACTCGGGAGGCTGAGGCGGGAGAATGGCGTAAACCCGGGAGGCGGAGCTTGCAGTGAGCTGAGATCCGGCCGCTGCACTCCAGCCTGGGCAACAGAGCCAGACTCCGTCTCAAAAAAAATAAATAAAATTAAAATAAAAAATAAAATAAAATAAAGAAACATTCAATAACATTTACTGTAGATGGTTTATCAAGTATATAGATTATGTCTGTATATATATACTTTAACATCTTTTAAATATACTTCATCTTTAAAAAAAGATTATCTAAACATATTATTTGAATCTCTTCTAAGAGAAATGTCCATTCTAAATGGATTGGATTCAGATCTTTTGAAGAAAGGGCTGTGAATATTAGCAATAAAACATGAGTAATTAAGAGAACTGTGAAATCTCTTTTCCTTGTGAGAACAAGGCTCAATCTAATGGACTACTGTAATACCAACACCACTCATGCCCAGATGGGTGGCTCTGTCTCTAGTTCTGCTTTCTGTGGAAGGTTTGGGGTCTGATTGGTTATATGGCTGACTATAAAGCAGTGGGTCATATGGGGAAAGTCCCCTCAGGATGGTCATAATTCAGTTGTAAAAGTCTCACACATAATCCCTTTAATTGACCAAAAAAATGAGTTAAGCACCTACTATGTGCCAGCCATATGCTAGAATCTGGAGAATTAAAGTTAAGCAAGATAGAGTTTGGGTTGTCCAGCAATTTGATGTTTATTGAATGTGAGAAACATGAAAAAATACCAGAATCAAATCATTATTGAAATGCCTTGAGACTTAATTTGAAAGGACTATAAATAAAAGAGTGGGCTGCCTGGCCAATCATTCTTACAACTTCATTCCAAAATGAGCAATTTTAATTGGGAAATGCAATGGAATATATTTGGACCTCTTTCTCAAAACTATGCAAGCTGGCCTGGCATTTGGGAACCTTGCTTGTAACAGACATCACTAACCAGTATAATGAAGCATATTCCATACGCTGATGAAATTCAATGTTTGAAACAGATAAAATGTGTTTTTATATCTCACTAGGTTACTAAATTACAAAAGTAATATTTTTGTCAAATGTTTTCTTATGTTTGTGCCTAAATTCCTTTTTTTCCCGGGTGATGTGAAGGTAGCCATTTTAGGATCAATGCCATGTAGGGAATGTAGGAGAGAGGAAGAGAGGAAACTAGTAGCTTTATTATTTATTAGTTGGGAGTCACGGCTGGATCCAGACATGCAGGTACTCTGAGCAAATTAGTAGTTAGGAATATCAAGAATGCTAATAACATGTCATTCATCAAACTGATTCTTTTTTAAAAATATGATGTTTAGGATGGAGAAGTAGCAGAGTAGTACTGCTGGTGACCATGATTGGCATCTTCTCAATGGTTTTCAAAGCATGTTCTCCACACTGACAACTTCATTCTCATCTGAGAAGTCCTTAGAAATTCAGATTCCTGGGCCTCATCCCAGAGCTGCTGAGTCAAAAACTCTGGGAGGGAGGCCCAGTACTATGTGTTAACAAACCCTCTGGGAGATGCTGATGTGTACGGAAGTTTCAAAAGTATTCATCTGCAACAATTCAGCTTCAGCCACAAAATCACATTTGCCATTCAGAAAACCCAAAGTCTTACCCTACGAAGTCCATCTACCTACAAATCTTAGAAGATGACATAGCGAGCATTTATTGTTACTCAAGCCTGTGCTTTGGGGACCCCACACTTTATCCCTACCCTTGCCTCTGCTACCACCACTACCATTAACTCTCCCTGAAAGGAATTTTGTTAAATACACAATCTTTTTATTCTGTTGCATTTCCAGTGATATTTTAATGCCCATGAGGTATTTGTATCCTGATCCTGCTGGCCCTTTCTGGTTCTATGTGACAAAGTGGCAACTCTACTGGGCGGTTTGGAAATCTTCTAGAATGGTAGTGGGGAGGACAGGGAGGAAGGTTTTTCTACTTACACATCTATTGGTTGGTTTGTTCACCACTATTTTCCTAAAAGTAGTTGTAAATTTTGTAATGGAGTTACTGCTGTTTGGGGAAAACTGGAGACTTAGATCATAGATGTGATATGGTTAAAGGGTGAAGTTTTATGTTGATAATGTCTTCATTTTAGTTTATGCCAAAATAAAGATTTTAATAAATAAATAATAAAGTAATAATTAAATAAGTAAAATAAATGCTTGACAGATTACATATTATACACTTGGAAGAAGAAGGAGGAGAAAGAAGATGAGCAAAAAGGAGAGAAATAAAAGGAGAATACACATATAATGCTTTGGTTGGGCCAGGTACTATGCTGAATACTTTACATCTATTGTCTCCTGTAATCCTCAAGACAAATTTCTAGGGCAAGGCTTATTATTCTCCCTATTTTACAGAGGAGAAAGTTCAGGTATTGAGAGATTAACAGATATGAAAAGGGTTCCATGGTCACATAACTATGTAGCACTGAGGTGTGTGGTAGAGTAATGGGTGAGCTATAAGACTGGAATGATTAGTTGGGATTAGGTTGTAAGGAGAATCAACAGCTATGTAAGGAGTCTCTAGTTCAAATTATGAGAATGGTACAGTAGAGAGAGACCTTGGAGATACTTTGAAGATAAAATTGATCTGACTTAACAATCAGATGGTAAAAATTGGGGGGAGTCTTTAGCTGAAGCAACTGAGTCTGATGGTGTCACTCAAGGAACAAAGGAGGAACGAGTTTAAGGGCAGAAGGAGCCGATGTGTTTAGTTCAATTATATCAAGTTTTGGGTGCCTGTGGAACATGTCCAGGTAGAAACGTCCAGTTGGAAATATAGCTGAGGCTCAGAAGCCAGATTAAGTCAGGAAGTATAGACTTAGCATTCATCAGCAGATTGATTAACAAGTTCGGTCCACTGCAATCATGGAAGTGGTGCTATCACCCAGGAAGAAAATGTAGAACAGGAAGGGAAATGTACCTTGTGGAAACTGACTAAATGAGAAAGACAAAGCCGTGAAAATGATTATAAAATATGGCTAGAAGGTAGTAAGAGAATGAAAAGATGATAAAACTGAACGTCAAGTGAGGTGATAATTTCCAGCCCCCACCATACCTATGACTGTGCTGGGTTCACGAAACCTTGAGTGAGCAGGCAATGGAAGTGACACTGAAGTCCAGGCATCCATCTGTGACCAAAAACCTCCTGCCTAATTGTGTAAATATTCTGAGGTCCTTTTACTACCTAGCTTGTTACTCTTCATCAGCAAGGTGCTGACCAAAGTAATATTGTAGAACTACAAAATAATAATTATTAACATATTCATCCTAAGTGAGTTAACAGATAGCTAATCCAAAATAATTTTGTAATGAGAAATCTGAATTATGCAACCCTTAAATTCTATTCTGTTATATCGTTCAGTGACAAAAAATGGTGGTTAATGGAAAATTGTCAAGTGAGACTTGCTGGAGAGGACTGCTTTGGTGGACAAGAAAGCAAGAAATATCTTTGCTTTTGCAAACAGACACCACTAGAAGATGTAAAGAATTTTTAGATACAGATTAAAGAGCCTCTTTGCAATCTCGTTTACAGGTTTTTTTTTACTTAGGAAATTATTTTCCAAGGATAATTCAAAGGCTTCAGCCTCATTTTAAAAAACGATAATTTTTGTTGGTTAGCCCAGATTGATGAAGTCATATGAAATTTTCTGCTTCATTGTGCCTGTATGACATTTTTCCTACTCATTCCTTTTTTTCCTTCTTCCACAGCCTCCTCAATTCCTTCTTGCCACCCCTTCAGATTTAGACAGACCATCTCTTCAATTCTGATGGCAACATTTCACACTAAATAACTATATACCCTAGCGTTGCCTCTCACACGTCCGGGTGATTGGCAGATGCTTGTTTAGAGGATTGGAAACAGCTAAAAGTGACATTCAAGGATTCAAAAACAGCTTGGTTGGGAAATAAATCTTTGCCTGGGAAAAATGGCTCTCTTTGCCAGACAATAGCCTTATAATTTATCATTTATTGGAAAAGAAGGATGCATTTTCAGAATTGCATCAGACTAAAACTGATTACGGATATTAAGCAATGTCTCTATGAGCCATTACTTACCGCGTATGTGAAAGCTGAGTGCCTCTGGAAGGCGGGCGCTGATGAGTCACTGAGTGTGCTATTGCACCATCGTAATTGTTAGCATCATAAACAACGGTATATGACAGGGTAGAGCAGATTAAAGAGAATGAAGTGTCTTGTGCAGTTCCCTCTAGAAAGAAGAAACAAGACGTTATTTCACTGTGATGTTAACTATTGATTCAGGTTTTTTGTTTGTTTGTAGCTCCTGATGGTTATGAGAGCTCAGAAGCAGTATTCACGGCTTATTCATTTCAAAAGCCACCATAAGTGATGGTTTAAGCTGTTCCAACTTTGTGCTGTTGTTTTTGAAATAAAAGGAAGGCTTTTTCTTTTCAGCGTTAGAAAAAGGGAAGACATTCAAGAGGGCTGAACCAAGTGCTAAGTGTTCAGGACCCCGAAGACCTTAGATTTGGCTAAAAATTATACCAAGAAGCAAGTGTTGTTATAATCAGAGGGACAGGGTAACGCTGAGCTGTGAACTCACAGAGCATTCATCCATTCCCTTCTGACATTTGTCATTTTTTATCTATGTTGTATTTATTTCAGATCATGTTTTAGCTACATATTGTGACTAAAATATCTCAAAACAGAGATTGTGTATACTATTTCTCAAAACAGAGATTGTGTGTAGTATAGAAATACCATAAATATCTCAAAACAGAGATTGTGTCTTAAAAAGTTTTGCTCTCTCCTCAGAACCTAGCTCATTTAGTAACTTGTTATTGCTGAATAAAAACTAATTTATTGATAAATGAATGTCATGAGTCACTGTATTTATTACAGCTCATCTCCCCAGTTCCTTAATTCTGTGAAGATACAAAAGCTAGATTAACCAGTGCTGCAGAAGAGTAAACTAGGATGGTTCTCGAAATGGTCATGTGTAATTGTTTATATTTCTTTCCACCAGTCTTTAACTTATATTATTTTAAAAAGTGCTGATACTTAATAACAAACATAGCATTTGGAAAGAGTTTTACTTTAGATGAAAAAAGTACACCTTCTGGAGAAAACATTTTAATGTCATGCCTTTCAGGCACCCACACCTTCCTCTTCAGAATATGAGGCAGTAATTATGACTACATAATTCCCTCTGGGGAAGCTAATTAAATGTGGATATTTGCTAAGGAAAAATAGAGAGCCTGTGAGTATAAACTCTGCAAATGCAAATATATAAAGGATCACAAATTCACATTAGTGCATTCTGTTAGACAAATCTTTCTGCAAACAGCAAGGCTAGCCCTGGAAAAAAACTGTGGAACAGCCAGAGGACAGCTTGAATATCCCCTAAAATCTACTTTCTGGACACCTCCCCACTACACCATGATCATCTCTGGTTATACTTTCCTTATGTTCTTTCTTATCTTTTCCATATTGAAAACCTGCTGTATTATTATATAGTATTAACTAGTATGACAGTGACTTTCAGTAACAATGGTTAAACAATCAGAAGTTTATTTCTGGTCCAAAAGCCAAAACTGGAGCTGCAGCTCTGCTCTGTGAAGCTGTCAGGGGCCCAGGCTCCTTCTACCTTGTTGCTCTGATATCCCTAGAGTGTTCTCATTATTGGTCTGTTGGTCTCATCAAAATGGCTCCCTACCCTATTGGCATTCCAGCTAGTGGGAAGGATGAAAAAGAGTTAGCAGAGGGAACTCTCCTTTTCTTTAAGAGCAGGACTTGCAAGCTTCACACATCACTGACTTTCTTACTCCATTGGCTAGTCACACGGTTTTCCTTAATAGAAATGTCCTTTTAAATATGGATCTACGCTCACAAAACTGTAAGGGAAATTCCTCATGGACAAATTGAAAAAACAAACTGTGCAACCAGAGGGGTAAACAAAAGCAAAACTGTAACAGCACTGGAGGCATTAGAGGATCTCGCTGTCAAGGTACTTAAGAGCTACGTGAAGGGCAGGAGACAAGACCTAGGCCCATGCAATGTGAGTAGCTGGGAGTGACACTCCACATCCAGCTGGGAACCTGAAAGGGCTATAATCTTGATGAAGGCATGTACTAGAAAATGATCCACCTAGGCTTTAGATTGCGGGGGAGGCTTCATTGGAAATTAGTAATAAAGGCTTTCCCTCAGACAGACCTGGGATTCAAATTCATATTACCTCCAAGATCCCAAGCCAAAATACCTAGTTCAAGGGGTGCTGGGTTGATAGGACCTTGTAACCACTTTAACCCTTTCTGGAGAGACCCACCCTCCATGCAGACTTCACAAAATCTTCATAGATAAATTAAATGATTATCAACCAAATACTTACCATATTACATTTTCATTCAGACATGAGTACAAAATAAAGACATTTTTAAACAAAAAAGTACAAGTTACTTCCCATAGACTTTTACTAAAGGGACATCTAACAGACATATTTCAAGGAAAAGAAAATCATTCCACCTCCCCGCTACACACAAAAGCAGATGTAGGAAAAAATATTGAGAAAATAAACAGGTCAACATGTAGGTAAGTCAAGAAATGCTGACTATATAAAGCATAAATAATATTATCCAGTTTGTTGTACAAAGGTACAAAAAGTACAAAATTACAAGATAGAACGAAAACACTACACAAAAATAATATGCAAGACATGGAAAAAGATGATTTGATTTAAAATGTCCCAATTCCATGTATTGTTCTAGAAGAGGGTAGACAAATGCTTCACTTGAAACTCTTAATAAGTAAAATACACACATTAAATTTTAAAATTATTCCATTAAGAAAATAGACCTATATTGCATAACTTGTGACCAGTATAAAGAAGCATAACAAAATCCTAATCAGTCCGAAAGAGGGAACAAAGGAAGAAAAAGTAAAGAAGAAGAAAATGGAGGAGCACAGACAATTCAGAGTACATAGCACAAGATAAAATGGTAGAAATTGGTTAAACATTCAGTAGCATACTAACCTCGCCAGTTACACAACAGAGATTATCCGTTTATAGTTTCAAAAATCCGTATGTAGACCAGCACTAGACAAACAGCTTAATAAGACACACAATGCTTGGATATAAACCAGCAACTAAACAGACAAAAAATTAGTAGAAATATGTTTAAAAAATATTTGACCTAATACATCACATATTGGAATTTGAAATCTATAAATTAGTCATAAACATTCTTTCTGAACATATATATGGAAAAATTCAAAATATTATCTTTATACTAGGTCATAAAGCAATTCTCATCAAATTGCAAGAATTACAATCATGATCATGATGATTTTTAATTAGATTTTAAAAATCAAGAGCAATGACAAAAACTTAAAACTTTATAATTTGGAAATTCTAAAACTTGCTATTGGGAGACAATTCTCTATGGGTCTCTTTTGTTTCTTTGTGTCTGGAGAGCATAGGCACTGACTGTCTTTCTGGAATATCTTTTCATGGATATTTGCATAGTGAACAGCCTTGGAAAACATAGCGTCTCCCTCCAGAGCAAAGACCAAGTTGTTTATATTATGGCACAACAAAGTAAGGAAAATATCTTTCTTTGAGGCAAAGATTCAGTGACCCAATACAAAAAAATTGGGTTTTTTAAGCTCAGGATTCCACGGCTGTAGTGTAACCCACTGCATGTGAAGGCATCACCTGGCTCTTTTTGTGTTGGCCTAAGAGAATTGGGGTTCAGGGAACTGGCTCTAATGCAGATATTCTGGATACAATTATTGCTATGAATAATAAGCCCTCCTTTGTCTCTGACCCAGACGTCCCATGGCTTTTGCCAGCATCTAGCATTCTGGCAGACTAGCTCATAAGCTTGGAAGTAGGATGAAATCTCAGACCCTTCACTGTTCTTGACCTATGCTTTTAAATAACAATGTGTATTAGGAAATGAAATTTAAAAATACTTATATCTAAATGATAGCAAAATCTTCCAGGAGGAAGCAAAAGTAATGTTTAAAGGAATACATACAGACAATGCTGGTAGCAGAAAAGGAAAAGCAGAAACTAAATGAGCTAGGTGCTCATATCAAGAAGTTACGTTATAAAAGAATAAGACCAAAGAAAACACAATAAAAATTATTTTCTAATAAGAGCAGAAATGATTTAAAGCAGAAAACAAATGGAGAAGATCAGTAAAACAAAAACAGTTCTCTGGAAAGATTAATATAATAGCCACATTTCTGATAAGACTGATCAAGAAAAATCAGAGACATCACAAATAGAAAGTGTAACTATTAGAAATGGAAAAGGGGACACACTGTGCTGATATAAATCAAAGCAATGAGTCTTTGATGCTGGAATTTTAAGAACTGGTGATAGACTCCTTGGATCATAGAGAGAAGATTTCTTTCTGGCTGGAAGTTTTTGCTTTCTGTCTCAATTCATAGCCAATGAATGATTGCCTATTCACAAGCCAAATGTCATTATGCCAAGTGACTAAAGCTGAGGACTGTGTAAGATTAATTCTACAAAAAAACTTTATAAAAGGCAAGCTGGATCTTAATAAAGAATTAGCAAACATGAAACTAAATATAAAACACAGTGCCATAAAAAAACATTACTTCCAACATCTTTCATCATCCTAGCCATTATTCAAGATCCTTTTCAAAGGTCATCTACTTCATCCTGCTGTCTTTGATTCTTTTCTATTAGATATAATATTTTCCTTCTGTGACCATCTATAGCATTTCATGCTTGGTTTATGAGTCTAAAGCAATATTTTCACCTTCATGCTTACAATATTCTAAGCTTTCTACAAGGATGGACTGGGTCTTATTTATCTAAGTAATTCTGGTAAATAATAGTAATCGTAATAGCAAATAAACTACCAACAGCTGAGCGTGGTCAAAACTTCACTTGATAGGTGGTCAAGAAGTACAATGGAATTGAGTCACTAAAACTAAACAGCACTAGCTCTTTTATAGGAACTCTGGGATCCTGGAAGTGAACAAGTGTTAGAGCAGGAGGAGTCTCTAAAGTATACTTTATTCTACTGGCTGAACAATGCAGAGGATTACATTGATACTATCTCTGATGTCAGAACCCTTTTTGGGAATTTACCATGATGGGAACAGATAGAGCCATTTTAAGGTTGGTCAGCACATCCCATCTGAGGATGTTCCTACTCATGTTGGAATATCATCATCTATCCTCAAGTCATAATTCTGCTTTAAAAAAAAAAA